AGCTTGGGCAACAGAGTGAGACTGTCTCAAAACAAACAAACAAACAAACAAACAAACAAAATGGCTGGGCGTGGTGGCTCACGCCTGTAATCCCAGCACTTTGGGAGGCTGAGGTGGATCACCTGAGGTCAGGAGTTTGAGACCAGCCTGACCAACATGGGGAAACCCTGCCTCTACTAAAAATACAAAAAATTAGCTGGGTGTGGTGACGGGCACCTGTAATCCCAGCTACTTGGGAGGCTGAGGCAGAAGAATTGCTTGAACCCAGGAGGCGGAAGTTGCAGTGAGCCTATATCATGCCATTGCACTCTAGCCAGGGCGACAGAGCAAGACGCTGTCTCAAAAAAAAAAATTAGCTGAACATAATGATACCTACCTGCAGTCCCAGCTGCTCAGGAGGCTATAGTGGGAGGATCCTTGTGCCCAGTAGTTCAAGGCTGCAGTGAGCTATGATCACTATGATCACGCCATTCCAGCCTGAGTGACTGCGCAAGACTCTGTCTCCAAACATAAAACAAGTAAACAAAAGCCCCAAGTGTTCCTTAGCTGAGGACTAATTACGGCACCAACACACCTCAGAATATCACACAGTATGGGGAAACCGTCACTTTTTCTGGTTTTTCATTTTCTTGACCTCTAAAGATGCTATGTCCTCAAGCATGGCCCTTGCACCACTTCTGTTCTCTATTTCTACTACCTTCCACTCTCATGGCTGTCAAGAACATATATCTACTTACAATTCCCAAATCTCTATCACCAGCATGGACTTCTATCTTCAATTCTAGAATTGTATTACTTAAGAATTTTCTATCTGTCTATTTGACATCTCCACTTGGGTGTCTAAACACTTAGATATTGTAAGAGTAAAATGACTGAAACTAACCTGATTTGTTCCCTGCTATTCTCACAGCTTTCCTCATTTTAGAATTCTCAGGTAAAACATGGGAGCTATCCTTGAGTCCTCTCTTTCTCTCCATTCAATCAGAAAATTTTGTCAGCTGTACCTTCAAATCATATCCAGAATCCAAACACTTGTTACGACGTACAGGTGTGCTGTTCATGCCTGTAATACCAGCACTTTGTGAGGCTGAGGTGGGAATACCGCTTGAGCCCAGGAGTTCCAGAACAGCCTGGGCAACATGGTGAAACCCTGTCTCAACAAAAAAATACAAAAATGAGCTGGGTATGGTGGCTCCTAAGTAGTCCCAGCTACTCAGGAAGCTGAGGCAGGAGGACTGCTTAAGCCTGGGAAGTTGAGGTTGCAGTGAGCTGAGATCACACCACTGCACTCTAGCCTGGGTGACAGAGTGAGACTCTATTTCATTAAAAACAAACAAACAAACAAAAAAACACACCCACACCCCCCATGCAGCTTTAAGCCACTTAAAGGTTTTTATCAGCTCTCACTTGGTCTTCCTGCTTCCACCCTTGCCCTGCTGCAATTTATTCTCAGCACAGTAGCCAGAATGATTCTTTTAAAATAAGTCATATCATGTCACTCCTATGCCTTAACCTCCAATGCCCTCCGTCTTAGAATAAAATCCAAAGGTTTCTGAATAGAAGCCCTAATAATTCAGCTCGCAAGGTCATCTCTAAGCCATCTCGTACAATGCTCCCCTCTTGTTCTAGGCTAGTCTTCCTTGCTGGTCCTGTGATTCCTAATATATAGGCAGTCCTCACTAAGCATGAAGCTCACACATGTAAAAATCAGAAAGAGTCATAGAGTACACAAGGATGCTTCAGTGAACAAGGGACCACACACATGACAGTGGTCCTATAAGATTACAATATTGTATTTTAACAGTTCATTTTCTATGTTTAGATACACAAATATGAAACGCTGTGTTACCACTGCCTACAGTATTCAGTATAGTCCTGTACAAGTTTTTAGCCTAGGGTCAATAGATTGTACCATATAGCCTAGGTATGCAGTAGGCCATCCCATCCTGGTTTGTACAAGGATGCTCTTATTATGTTCATACAACAGTGCAATTGCCTACTGATGTATCTCTCAGAATGCATTCCCTGGTTATGCAGCTAGCTCTACAGTCCCCATATCACCATGTAACTAACAGATGCACATCATGATCAGTAACTAATCACATCACTTCTTTTGAAGTCTGGTAATGATCAATCACTCAACATCATCTGCATAAACAGATCATGAAGACAACGAAGCATGTAGTTGTGTTGCTCTTGCTTCTTAGTGATAAACCAATCTGAAATTTTAAGAAAATGCAACACTGAATGTGAGAGTCAATGAGGATGAAATGCAACAAAAGACCAAAAAGAGGTAAGGCTAGAAGTGAAATAGTTTGTGATTTGAAGATTTCAAAATGGTCCAGCAAAGACAAGAAAGACTAAGACCCAGACTTGTAAAAAGCTGTGGTACAGACCATACTGAATAAGTCCAGTGAATAGAAAAAGGAAGGTCAAGTAGCTTTAATATCATCTTTCAGTTGAAACTGCACTAGGAAAGCCACTTATGATACAAATAGTGTTTATTTCTATTTTGGATTAAAGATAGTAATGACCAAAAAAAGATTATAATCATTCAAAGCTGAAGTGTTGAAGTTAGTTGCCACACTGAAAGAAAATGGTAATTAGGGAAACGAATTACTGCCAGTGAAGGCTGGTTTCAGCACTTCAGAAGTCAATACGACTATGAATAGTGTTGAGTGAATCAGCAAACTGCCATCACAGAGAGAGATGGTGCTATAAAGTGTGTACCCAGAGTCCAAGAAGAAGTGAAGGCCAAGTGGTTTTGAGGAAAAGGATGAAGAGGTCTCGAAAGTCATGCTGGCAAAAACCTTCACATTTAACGACGTCTTGGAGATGTTCCACAGCACTGAAGGGCAAAGGGTAAAACTGTGGAAACAGACCTCAACTTAAGAGTGTGACAATTCGCCAAGGCTTAGAGGAATTCTCCCTCTGTACTTTAAGTTAGACAATGAGAAAAGGCAAGCACTCTTCCAACCACTCTGTGTTTCTAATGCTTTAAATGATACCGTACAAAGTAAATATTTGTTTCACTATTTTTTCATTTTCCTATATATTACAACCTACAGAAAGAAAGTTTTTAGGGTTTTCACAAAAGTTTTTATAAGTCACAGAATAACTATAACCTTTCCACTGACTATCAAGAACATTTTGCAGCTTCATTTTATATGGTCATTTTTATGTTACCACACTAATGTGCAAAGTCACAAGTCTAAGTTCCCTTATGAAAGCCTTGGTTCTTCTTTCCTCTGCCTGACACATTCTGGCATCAAGGAGCAAATGGCTTATTCCTTCATGCTCTTTTCAGAGAAGCCTTTTTCTGTAAATCAGCAACTCTTCCTCTCATTACTTTTTATTCCCTTTACACTGTCTCTCTTTCTTCCTACATTTATTATTTCTTCATATCCACTAGAAAGTAAACTGAAAGGGAATGGACACACTACATCTATTTTTGTGACTACTCTATATCCCCACATCCTAAAATAATACCTGGCACAAACAAGGCGTTCATAATTTTTTTTTTCTCAAATACAGTTTTATAAAGAAGTAGATCTAAATATACTAACATGGTAAAATCTTACTGATATAAGTAAAAAGTGCAAAACATAAAACAATATAATCAGTAAGATCTCCTTTAAGAATCTATCAATTGGGGCCAAGCAAGGTGGCTCAAGCCTATAATCCCAACACTCTAGGAGGCCAAGCCAGGAGAATCAAGAGATCAAGAGATTGACACCATCCTGGCCAACATGGTAGAACTGTCTCTACTAAGAATACACAAATTAGCTGGCACGGTTGCGTGCCCTGTAGTCCCAGCTACTCAGGAGGCTGAGGCAGGAGAATCACTTGAACCCAGAGGTGGAGGCTGCAGTGAGCTGAGATTATGTCACTGCACTCCAGCCTGGCGATAGAGTGAGACTCCTTCGCAAAAAACAAAAAACAAACAAAATCTATCAATCGACATGTAAAGATACTTATCAGAACTGTTATCTTGACCACAGAGGAAGTCTACAGAAAAAAAAAACAAAACCCCAAAACTGTCACCAGTCAACATTATTTTAGGAAGTGGGACTGGCAATGTGGGTGGGCAATGAGACAATAATTTTCACTTTACACATTAAGTATTTTTATATTATCTAATTACTTTTTCCAATATAATATTACTTGTAGAATTAAGAAGAAAAGCACAAAGGAAATGCAGGCATTAAATACTGTCATAAGACTAGGCATGGTGGCTTATGCTTGTAATCCTAGCACTTTGGGAGGCAGAGGCAGGCAAATCACCTGAGGTCAGGAGTTTGAGAACAGCCTGGCCAACATGGCAAAATTCTGTCCCTACTAAAAATACAAAACAAACAAACAAAAAAAACAAAAAATAAAAAAAAAAAGGGGCATGGTGGCACGCGCCTATAATCCCAGCTACTCTGGAGGCTGAGGCAGGAGAATCACTTGAACATGAAAGGCAGAGGTTGCAGTGAGCTGAGATCATGCCACTGCACTCCAGGCTGGGCAACAGAGCAAGACTTTGTCTCAAAAACAGAAAAAACAAAAATAAATACCTTCACGATGTCATTTTTGAATGCCATAGCAACTGAGTGTTTGCTGTAAGGCATATATAAAGTGTATTAAATGTATCATTTTGTTTAAATACACAAAACTTCTATGAGGTAAATGTTATAAGAATGCCCACTTTATAAATCAGGCAATGGGAATCAGAGAGGTTGAAAAACACGTTCAGGTCATACCACTAGAAAGTCCATGTAAGTTGGGAGTGGTGGCACACACCTACAATCCCAGCTACTCAGGAGGCTGAGGCAAATCACTCAAGCCCAGTTCAAGGCTGTTGGTATTATGATTTTCTCTGATGGCAGCTGAGAACAGCCACTGCACTCTAACCTGGGCAACATAACATAGCAACACTAAGTCACACTTATTAGACTCTCCCCACTGCAACGATGTGTGGTTAAAAGCAAGAGTGGTAAGAACACTTAGGTGCTCACCCTGCAGGCCTAGGTGATCCAGATGTACTCCGCATAGAGCTTTCCACTCGAGGACTAGCAACATCAGGAGGCTGGGGAGGAATGAGGGTTTTCCGAACTGCCATTCTGAAAGAGACAAGAGAAAACCTGGAAAATGCCAGTCCAAGGGCATTAAAGGATAAAAAATACAAGATATACATTTGCCAGACATACCTAGGACAAAATAAAAGCCCTACATTGACTAAGTATTTTTAAAATGGATTTTTATTTTCTCAGATACCACAGATACATTACCAAAAAAAAAAAAAAAAAAAAAAAAAAAAAAAAAAAAAAAAAAAAAAAAAAAAAAAAAAGAGCAGGTCCCTTCCTCATTCCTGCTCATTTCCTGTCAGGCTCCCTCCAGGAAGCAACCATTAGGACTCTTTTAGCCACTACTTCTAGCATGCCACATCTCCTTTCTACTTAATGTTATTAACAATAAAATCCATATTAAGTATTCACAATCATTATTACACCTATGGTGTTTATAAAGACTTGGAAGCCAAGTGAAAAAACCTGATCCAAGAAGAGTCGGAGATCTATTGTGTTGTGCAGCAGACAGGCCATGTAAGGCTCTGACAGAGAATTAACCATCAAGTTAGCACTATGAAGATATGAGCAATCTTGACATGTTCAGTTTTGGTAGGGTGGTAGGAACAAATACCAGTTGAGAGTGGGTTTGAGAGAAAATAACTAGACAAGAATATACCACTTTGCAACTCTTAATCACTAATGGATCTGGGTGACGATCATCAGAGCCACTAACATCTCAAAAAAGGTGAACATCAGACATCATGTGTCTTCTGGTAAGAGACTCAATCACCAAATTATGAAGTAGTCTTGCCACAGAAGCAATAAAAAAAGAGAAAAATCAGACCAAACCTTTAGAGTCAAGTAAGAACTTACAGAAAATGTGAGGATAGAACAAGAGAAGTTACATTATGGGTGCAGTCAGTTGAACTAAGTTCTTTAAGAAGATATATGTAAGTCCCAATCTTCAGTCATTGTGAATGTAGCCTCACTTGAAAAAACAGTCTGTGCAAATGTAATTATGGATCTTAAAATAAGAGATCCCTGATTACATTTGGATGTAGAGCTCTGGATGTGGAGTTTAAGATCCAGTGACAAGTATCCGAGTAACAGAAAGGGAAGGGAGATCTGAGACACAGGTACCAGGGCAGGGCCATTTGGTGACAGAGGCAGAGATTGGGGTGCTGTGCCTGCAAGCCAAGGAACACAAGGGTCAACAGCAGCCACTGGCAGCCGGCATGATGAGATTCTCCTGAGAACCTCCGGGAGGAACTGACCCTGATGACGCCTTCATTTCAGATTTCTAGCTACTGGAAATATAAGATAACACATGTCTGTTGCCTTAAGCCAGAAGATTTATGGTAGTTTGTTACAGAAGTCCTAGGAAATGCATATATCGGGATGCCATCGACAAAAGCCAGAGGGGGTGTGGTCCAGCAGACCAAGTTTCTTCAACAAATAAGCTGCAGGAAAAAAAAGAGATAGAGGAAGCCTCGATAATAAAGTGACTTTAAAAGTCATATTAACTGATTACAATGTATGCATCTTATCAGAATAAATAATATCCAATAAATCAAATAAATAATTTTTTCAAATAAATATTATTTTAAATAATAGAAAATGAGAACACATGGACACAGGGAGGGGAGCACTACACACTGGGGTCTGTTGGGGGGAAATAGGGGAGGGACAGCGGGGGGAGGGGAGTTCGGGAGAGATAGCATGGGGAGAAGGGCTAGATGTGGGTGATGGGGAGGAAGGCAGCAGATCACACTGCCACGTGTGTGTGTGCCTATGCAACAATCTTGCATGTTCTTCACATGTACCCCAAAACCTAAAATGCAATAAAATTAAAAAAAAAAAAAGAAAATGGCCAGGTGTGGTGGCTTACGCCTATAATCCCAGCTACTTGGGAGGCTGAGGCAAGAGAACTTCTTGAACCAAGGAGGCGGAGGTTGCAGTGAGGCAAGATCACATCACTGCACTCCAGCCCATGGAACAGTGAGAGACTGTCTCAAAAACAAACAAACAAAAATGTGTGACGTTTCAGACCACTGGAAACCTAAACAATAACTGGCTATTTGATACTAAGGGGTTACTGGTTTTTTAATGTTATGTATCTCTCCATAGGAGCATGCTGAAATACATACAAATGAAATGACATGGTATCTAGGAATCACTTCAAAATATGATAGGAGGGGGTAGCTAAGCATACAGGTGAAGCAAAATTGGCCAAGAGCTGATAAGCTGAGAACTGAAGTTTGGCGACAGGCAAATATTCAAATTTTTTCTTTCTTTTTTTTTTTTGAGACAGAGTCTCACTCTGTTGCCCTGGCTAGAATGCAGTGGCATGATCCCAGCTCAAGCGATTTTCCCACCTGTCTCCCAAGTAGCTGGGATTACAGGCACCTGCCACCACATCCTAGCTAATTTTTGTATTTTTAGTAAAGACGGGTTTCACCATGTTGGCCTGGCCAGTCTCGATTTCCTGATCTCAGATGATCACTCCGCCTCAGCCTCCCAAGGTGCTGAGATTACAGGTTGAGCCACCGCACCTGGCCACAAAATTTTCTCATGTTTAAAAATAAAGATAAAAGTTAAAAAGGAAGATCAGCTGCACTGCTGCCACCCCACTTGCCGCCCACACTGGCCAAAAATTAACCAAACCAAAAACATATTTAAAAAAAGACAGAACCTAATGAGAAGCATCACTATAAACCAACAGAATGACCAAACTCATAAAGACAGCCCAGAACAAGTGCTGAGGTGTTGGTGAGGATGAAATAATGATTACTCCTGGTGAAACAATGATTACTCCTGGTGAGAGTGTAAATGGGTAAAACCACGCAGAAAACCAAACCTATGAAAGTTTAAAATAAGCACACCCTATGACATAGCAAATCCCTCAGTATTTAACAGAAATGTACTCATGCATGAATCAAAAGTCATGCACAAAAATGTTCACGATATCATTACAGGCAAAACATGGAAGCCACCCAAAACATGGATAAACAAACCATGGTACTGTTATATATGGTATTTTACACAACAATAAAAAAATTATAATCAAGGCCAGGTGCTCACGCCTGTAATTCTAGCACTTTGGGAGGCTAAACTGGGAGGAATGCTTGAGCCCAGGAGTTCAAGACCAGTTGGGGCAACATGGTGAAACACCATCTCTACTAAAAATACAAAAACTGAGGTAGGAGGATCACCTGGGGAGCCTGGGGAGGTAAATGCTGCAGTAATCTGTGAGCATGCCACTATACTCCAACCTGGGCAGAATGAGACCCCATCTCAAAAAAAAAAAAAAAAAAAAGTACAATCACATGTAATAATGCAGATGAATTACATAAAACCAAGTTATGAAAGTCAGACTCAAAAAAGTCACACACAAAAAATGCACAACATATGATTCTATCTATCCACTGGTTAATTACCTTTGGGAAAAGATGTTGGTAACACTGTTTCTTGACCTATATTGTGGTTGGCTACTGTTTATTTTGAGACTATACATCCATATCTGTGACTTTTTTATATACTTCAATAAAAATGATGAAAAGGAGACTGACAGAAGACCCAGACACAGCAAATGCAATTTGTTTTTACAAATTAGAGAAAAAAAAATTTAGGTTGGTAGATGGTAGAGCAAAGTGAGCTCAACAGAAGGACATTGTAGACAGAAGAAATGACAGCATGTTTTTATACTGTTTTTGTGAATGATCTATTCAGAAGAAATGACAGCATGTTTTTATACTGTTTATGTGAATGATCTACTAACAAGAAAAAGCTGAGGCTTTGCAGAGGAGGAAGAACTAGAGCATCATTCCTGAATAGGCAAGAAAGGAGACAAGGCACTTTGGAGAGGAGCCCAGAGAGCTTGTCTAGAGGAACAGACAGGAGGCAGGACACGGGGTACTGCCACTGTAAGTATTATAGAAGTGATAGCTGCAGACTGTGGAAGTTGTCTTTTGACTGTTTTCTTTTTCTCAAAAAAGGAGCAAGTCTGTTGACTAACAGTGAAGACAGAAGAGGCCTGGGAGTTTTGAGAGAAGGAAACGTAAATCGGTTACCTGGAGGGGTGTAGGAGAGGATACTCTGATGGTCTGCTGAAAGATCCTAGTACGTCTGTGAGGCTAAGCAAGGCCAGTTGGCAAGGTGGCTTTCCCTGCCACAATCTGCTGTACATGTGCCAGCACAAATGAAGCAGAAAGTTGGATTTAAGTCTGATTTTGGCAAAGCGAAGTGGGGAAGGGGGGTAAGGAAATGACTGCAAGTGACCACAGACTCTGAATCAGGAAGAGCAGAGAAAGAGACCATGAGAGGCAGTGAGGAACATGAAAAGGTAGATCAATGGACTGCAGGCTGCTGGGGGTCCCCTCTGGAGCTGGAGTTCCGCTGGGAGGGAGGTGGGAAGAAAGAAGGTGGGCTGGGGCATGGGAACACAGAGACAAGGTCAGGAAGGCTTATTGAGCTTATGCACTAAATGCCCACACTAGTGGGGAGGGTGGAGGCAGGACAGCATTCAAGCACCTGATGGGCCAGGGAGCTGGAAGATCATTTCTGATCATTAAAGGTGAAGACAGGGTGCTACCATGACTAAAAAGTGCCAGGCATCATGTCCTTCCAAAAGGCATACAGATACACCCGCAAAATCTAACTTGACTCTCTTAGCCTCTGGATCTGCCCTGCTCAAAGCCATATGGTGCTACTGAGCACACGAAATGCAACTCGGGAACAAAATATTTAACGTCATTTCATTTTAATTAATTTGAATTTTACAATGGATACTCGATCCAGTTATTGAGAAATGTTTTATTATCTGGAATAACTTGGCTATTTAAAAATCTACTGTTTCAACTGTAAATTTTATGAAATTTAAATACAAATCAAGTGCTTTTGAGGAGAAATGATCTGAAAATGGCAGCTGAGGCATGACAAGGACATCTAGCCTACCCCCAGGCTGAGTCACAGTAGGGATGTGGAAGAGAGGCAGGGACCACTTCTGTAGGGCAAGTTGAGTCCCTGAGGAAGAGTCAGGTTTAAAGCAAGAAGGTGTGGATAAAGTAGAGACAAGGGCATAGTAACATGCAGAGGAGAGAAGAACTGGTCCTGAAATGAGACAGCAGAAATTGAAGTAGAAGAATTGGAAGATAAAGTTGAAGAAATATCAAACGTGGAACAAAAAGACAAGAAAATTGGAGCAAAGGACACTGCAGTCCCCTGGGGTGGGGACTGCAGTGTCACATGATGACTGTGAATTACAGAGGGCATAGTACAAGGGTCTTTGGGGGGAAGTATGGGAGAAGCAGGCACATCTTTATGTCACCAGTGTTGCAAAATTTCAAAATACTGACCTGAGTTTATTGTATCCATTGAATACTGTGCAGAGCACTTCTGTAATTAGGAAACTCATTTCTTTCAGTTTTGGTAATTTCCTATTACTTTTTAACTCGTTGCTCTGTAATGATCCCTACTCCTTTACTCTGATCTCTCTTGCTGAAACCCATTACCTGGAGGCTGGATTTCCTGAATTGGTTCTTTTTCTTGTCATTTTAAATTTTCTCCTGTCCTTTGCTCCAATTTTCTTGTCTTTTTGTTCCACGTTTGATATTTCTTCAACTTTATCTTCCAATTCTTCTGCTTCAATTTCTGCTATCTCATTTCAGGACCAGTTCTTCTCTCATCTGCATGTTCCTTTTACATAGCACTGTGTTACTGTTTCATGAATGCAACTTTTTCTTCAGTCTTTCTGAAGGCATCACGGATAGTTCTTGCTTACCTTGTTCATTTGTTTTGTGTTTTATTCTCCCTACCTAGCTTCTACATCTTCCAAGGTGCACTGGGCATGTATTTATTGTGGTTTCTGTCTTTCACCGTTAGAGGTCCCCTCAGATATCTGCCTATCATTGGTTATATGTTCATGATTAAGAGTGGGGGTTCAGGGGAGAGGGACTGAAATGCTGGCTGGGAGTTCTGAGCTTTGGAAGTTCACCTGCCAGGGTTCCATCAGCTAAAAGCAGGGAGTAGACTGGGAAGTGTTCAGCATTCCATACATGCATAGTCAGCCACAATCTCTTTCTGGTAAAATTCTCGTGACCTCCACAGTGCTGGTGATCCTAGTGGACCGCCTGCAGAGTTTGAACTTGCAGGCTCCTGCTAAAGGCAGGAAGGGGCAGTACAACACATGGCGTGGGTAGAAAATGGGATTCTGGGCTCTAACTTTAACACTTCTCAAACGCAAAGGTTTTAACTGATCCTCCTTAGAAGAGAGAGCCCCTTTCTTCACCCCCAGGATCTGCCTGTTGTTGGTCCTTTTGAAGATTTTCCAATTTTAAACAAGGATGGCTCTCAACTTTCCCCTATGCAAGCTTCATATTTAGCTTTCTCACAGCCAGGACACCATGGCAAGATAGTCTGCTTCCCAGCTTCAGTGTTTAGTTGCTACTGTGTCCTCTCCCATTTTCCCCATCCTTGTGTGTTCACAACCCTTTTGAAAAAAAGTTATATAGGGTTATGAGAGTGAGAGATTTAGATGTGTGTAATCCATCTGTAATCTTAACCACAGGCTTTGCCTTGTGTTTTTACTAATAAGGTAACTTTGTCACAGACTGACTTATCCTTTAAAAAATACCAAGTATTCCTAATAAGCAAAGATAGATAGGGACTCTGGTCTATGCACAGCTGTGTGCAAATGAAAACCCTGCACGGATCCTAGTCCCAGTAATCTAAGTTTGCACTTGCTTTAGTATTTTGATATTGATGCTATTAGCTCAGCTGAGCCATAGAAACTCTGCTCTCTGAAACACAACTGCTCATCTTCCACCTCCAGAATGGTTAAGCTGAACAGCACAGCACATACATTCCTGCCTATGATCCACCAACTGAGAAGCTTGCATGCAACACAAAACACTACCTGCTACTAAATATGAGCCTTATTGCACTTCGGAAATTGCTTGCCCACAGTGACAAGGAAGAGGAGCAGGGAAGTGCTGGGAAGGGAGGGGCAGGTCCCTGGTGAGGGCTCGACCCCCAGCCTGTGCCCACAGATCTAGGTGAGGGTAGGCATTTTTGTTTTTCCGCCCAAATGCTGCATTTCTCAAGACCACCCTGGCCTGCCACACCTCCATCCTGCGCCTATAAAAACCTCTAAGACCCTTGCAGGCAAGCACACAAGTGGCTGGACATCAAGAGGAACACATTGGCAAAAGAAGACACAAGTAGCTGAATGGCAAGAGGACATCAAGGGGAGCATGCCGGCGGAAAAGCGCATGACACACACTGGCACGCCACCAACCGGCAAGCCACCAACTGGCAGGCCCCCAACTGGCAGAACGACGCAGAGTTTAGCCAGGGCAGTCGGAGGAGAGCCTGGGCCGCCTGGCCCAACTCCAGGGAAAAATCATCTCCCTTGTGGCTCCCCCATCTGCTACAGCTACTTTTACTCAATAAAACCTTGCACTCATTCTCCAAGCCCACGTGTGATCCCATTCTTCCAGTATACCAAGGCAAGAACCCTGGGATACAGAAAGTCCTCTGTCCTTGCCATAAGGCAGGGGTCTAACTGAGCTGGTTAATGCAAGTGGCCTATGGACGGCTAAACTAAAAGAGCACTCTGTAACACCCACCCACTGGGGCTTCATATGTAAACATTCACCCTAGATATTGCTGTGGGGTTGGAGCCCCAAAGCCGGCCCATCTGTATGCTCACCCTAGAGGTTTGGGCAGCAGGGCAGTGAAGAAGCAAGACACTCCCACGGTTGCACGCCCTTTGAGGGGGACAAGGGAACTTTTCCCATTTAAACAGCAATGATTCATGCTGAATGAAGTATATGTATGAGTTAATGTAACTACCTACACAAGCCCAAGAGTTAATTATAAGCTATTTTAAAGGTTCTATGATTGAACTTCCAGAACTAGAGAGAATTAAAACAGTATGCAACAGATGCTTACAAACTAACACCCCACTGACTCCAGCATTTGTAAGATCTGGCAGTCTAAGCTGGGTAAGGCTCTACTGAATAATCCTGTCATAGAAAGTGAGAGATGAGTTTGATACTAGCAATAGATATGAGTGCCTACTATGTATACCAATTATATCCAGAACCAGAGGTGTCATTTGGCACTACTAGGTCTACTCACCCATCTGTGGCAGGTTTCTTCCGGAGTATGCTTGGCCGTGGTGATGAGCCCTGGGCGGGAGCGTTGGTGCTAGCGCTCTGGCTGTGGGTCTGCACCACGGTTGTTGCTGCTGGAGCAGCACTGAACGGATTGCTAATGGGGTTGGCCACAATTGTGGCTCCATCTGCCAACACCACTGCTAGAGGAGAGAGGCAACAGGAAAGAATATTGAAAAGAGGAAACATTGAAATAGAAGAAACAAATGCTGCAGAAGAAATAGGTAAAAATGATGAGACTACTAGAATTGGGTATCCATGTTCTAACCATCCAATTTCAAATTGATAAGGGGCAGGAGCACTTCATCTGACAAAGAGCAGATAGCCAAGTGGGAGCAGTTACCAAGTCTACTGATGCATGATCCATACCATTATTTTTTCTTTTTTGAGAGAGAGTCTTGCCCTTTTGCCCAGGCTAATAAAGTGCAGTGGTGTGACCCATACCATTATTTTTTCTCTTTTTATTTTTTAGAGAGTATTGCTCTGTTACCCAGGCTGGAGCGCAATGGTGTAATCATCTCAGCTCACTGCAACCTCTGCCTCCCAGGTTCAAGCAATTCTCCTACCACCACACCTGGATAATTTTTGTATTTTTAGTAGAGATGGGATTTCACCATGTTGGCCAGGCTGGTCTCAAATTTCTGACCTCAAGTGACCCACCCACCTCCGCCTCCGAACGTACTGGGATTACTGGTGTGAGCCACTGTACCTGGCCCATATCATTATTTTTGCTTTGCTCTATAATCATTTCCTAATTACTAATAAATGAGATAAGGTGAACAAAGTATACAGTGTAAGTACAGTCTCTCACTCTACTAGTTACTTTACATTCTTTACTCATATAATTCTTTCATCATTGAATTTTATCATCATTGTAATTCCCATTTTAGAGATAAGAAAACTAACAGGAAAGGCTTAGTAAAAGAGCCACAAACAGAAAACATCATCTACTAGCCTGACAGTATGCTCTAAAGTACAATTCAAGAAATATACTCATTCGGTTTTTGTAAAATATCAGTATCTCTCAACCCCCAATAATGGTGCCATCCCCAGTCTATCTTTAGAAACACATTCAACTAACAGATATTTTAACTATACACTTAAAGTTAGCATCGATACTGGTGAGCATGAGATCATACTCAGAAAATATCCATGTGTGACAGTTTTTGACCTATACAAATAACGATTTCATAGGAGTCAACTTAATACCATGAGTTTTCTAGCGGGTGCCCTTAGATGTGGCACACCATTCTACCAGGTGGGTCATTATGGGTAAACTACATCTCTATCGGTCATGTCAAAATAAAACACCTGAGAGACTCTGATTAAATAGTTCAATTCAAGGTCTACAGAACAATTAAAATTCATAGCTCCAGCCCAGCGCAGTGGCTCATGCCTATAATCACAGCACTTGGGGAGGATGAGACTGGAGGATAGGATGGCTTGAGCTCTGGAGTTTGAGACAAGCCTGGGCAACAAGCAATATCCCATTTCTACAAAAAATAAAAAGTAATTAGTCAGGAATGGTGGCATGTACTTGTAGTCCTTGTTACGTGGGCGTCTGAGGCGTAAGGACTGCTTGAGCCCCGAAAGTCAAGGCTACAGTGAGCCATGACTGTACCACTGTACTCCAGCTGGGCAACAGAGCGAGTGAGACCTTGTCTAAAAAAAGATCAGCACCTTGGCCGAGAAACAGCCATCTTTTTAAAACTATATCAGAGAAATGGCTAATTAATAATAATGCAAATATATGGAATCTTAAATTCAGCTGAAAAAAGAAAAATAACCTTGCTGGTGTGATGGCTCATGCTTGTAATCCCAGCACTTTGGGTGGCCAAGGTGTGGAGATTGCTTGAGCCCAGGAGTTTGAGATCAGCCTGGGCAATATGGCAAAACTCCGTCTCTATTAAAAATACAAAAATTAGCCAGGCACGGTAGATTGCACCTACAGTCCCAGTTTTTTGGGTGGTTGAGGTGGGAGGGTCACTTGAGCCCAGGAGGATCACTTGAGTGCAGTGAGCCAAGATCACACCACTGCACTCTAGCCTGGGTGACAGTGTGAGACTATCTCAAAAAAAATCTAAATACAGTGACTTATCCCATTTTTCAAAATGCTAGTCCACTAGTATTTCTTTTTAAGCATTCATAATATTAGCTAACATCAGCATAAGATTTTATAGCTTTATGTACAACTCTGAAGAAAATTTTCAATGAGAACACTACTTACAAGGTGAATTTTTCCCCTCACCTAGGAGCTTTTAATAAAGATAACATTTCTCACTATGTGCAAATGAATACTAGGCTATTCATCTATATTATTTCTAACATTTACAGTGACCCTGAAACTGTAAGTTCTAAGCAACTCATATTATTAATACACAGAAAAAACAAAGGCCTAGAGAAATTACAAGACCACAAAGCCAGTGGCAGAAAAAGGATATAAATTGAAATGTCTCTCTTTTTTCTAAACCACCTGCTATGCAAAAATTTAAAATTACCTGAAGTCTTTCCTTCAGACTGAGGCTGCTGAGTACCCATTGGTGCAGGCTGAAGCCCTTGTGTGTTGATTGGGGTTGCTGAGTGAATTCCCTGTGTGCCAAGCGGTGCGGGCTGTATCCCTGGGGTCCCGATGGGGGCCGGCTGGATGCCCTGTGTACTGATGGGCGCTGGCTGGATCCCTTGAATATGTCGAGCATGCGATGCATCTACTGTCATCAACTGCATGGGGTTTAGGTGGACTGTAGACGCTACCCCCACACCAGTCTGAGCTGTGATGGCAGAGTTTGGAGCCTGAGCTGAAACTAAAAATGATGCAAAAGGTGACTACAAGAAGGTTAGCCTCATTCCACACAGTCTACATAAAGTGAGGAACACCGAAATAAAAACAGATTTATTCTACTGTATAATACCTAAATCCGTGGTTTGAAAAAACAACACTGTTACTTGAAACTTGATATACTTGGGATTGTTATTTCCTTTCACTTCCTATCAATATGATGTTGTCTTTATACAGATTATTAGAAATATGATTAAAACAAGAAAAAAGGCAATCAGCTATTGAATTGCAAATATTAGCCAGGCAACCATGCTAAATAATTAATATAAAATGTCAGAAATACACCCTGAGGTCCCAGGTCAAGAACCTCTGCTTTCATTGACAGCACCACTATCACAGGTAGTTCTGAAATATGGTAGTATGAATTTCAAATGGCATGTATCTGCCAGAAAGAGAGAACAAGTAAGTGTCCTGTGTTCTACAAGGCAAATACCCCATCTACTATATACATCAACAAACAAACAAACAAGCAAAGAGTGAAAACAAGAGCATTCACAGAAAGCAACAAAAAAGGAGGAATTTCTCACTATCTGTGGAAAGAAAATAAAGAGGACTTTTTGCTTAGTCATCAAAATAATCCAAAAAAGTAGGAACTTGTTTTCAAAGCTATTTAAATACCTTATACTTCTAAGATACCTTTTCCGTAAACAGTCAAATATCCTACAATGTTTGAAATTTTAGACCAGGACTGTTCAATGGCATATTAGGTCACTCATACAACTTTAAATTTTCCAGTGGCTACAATAAAAAAGTAAAAAGGGCCTGATGTGGTGATTCGTGCCTGTGATCCCAATACTTTGGGAGACTGAGGTATGAGGAATGCTTGAACTCAGGAGCTCGAAACCAGCCTGGGCAACATGGCAAGACCCCATCTCTATAAAAAATTAAAGAATTAGCCTAGCATCATAGCACGTGACTGTGGTTCCAGCTACTCAGGAGGTTGAGATGTGAAGATCCCTTGAACTCTGGAATCTTAGGAGGCAGTGAGCTATGATCAAACTACTGCACCCCAGCCTGGGCAACAGAAAAAGACTGTCTCCAAAAAAAAAAAAAAAAAAAAAAAAAAAAGTAAAAAGAAAAAGGTCAGGCGCAGTGGCTCATGACTGTAATCCCAGCACCTTGGGGGTCCAAAGCAGGCAATCATTTGAGAACAGGAGTTCAAAACCAGCCTGGTGAAACTCTGTCTCTACTAAAAATACAAAAATTAGCTGGGTGTGGTGGCACACGCCTGCAGTCCCAGTTACTTGGGACACTGAAGCAAAAGAATTGCTTAAAGCTGGGAGATGGAGGTTGTAGTGGGCCAAAGCCATACAACTGTACTCCAGCCTGGGCAACAGAGTGAAATTCCA